AGGGTCATTCGATAGGAGATCAAGCGAAGGCCGTTTATTCAGACTTGGGGAAGCCTTTTTCTACCTAACTGCAGCACAAAGATCTCTCCGCCCAGGGAGGTGGGAAATTACCTTATTAACAATGGAGAAGATTGCCTGCAGCTAAATCACCAGGTGGGGCAGGGATAGCACTGAAACACACAGGAAGCTTAGTTAACTGATAAGAAACTGTCCCTGCCAATGCACCCCAGGAATAAGGGAGACCAGGGGCCCACACAAGTGAAGGTCAGCTAAGCTTTTATCCAGATCTGTTGGATCAAAGAAACAAATCAACCCAGGAAAACAAGATTTTGGCATTTAAAACCTAATGAAAGAAAAAGGACTTTTTTTTTTTTTTACCAGATTGGTGGCCAACTGGAAGTTGGTCTTTTGATTTCATTGCCCCTGGGTGATTTCTCCCTGTGTTTTCTTCCTCGATGCTGCCAAATAGCAAGGAACAGTGTGGTTCTGATGATAGCATCTCCCTACCCCTGCTCATCTTGCAAGCACCATACTTTAAAGACAGCGTCTTTACCCTGTCCTCAAATGAAACTCTCACCCCTGCACATGCCCCTAGAGCCTGCTCTGTCTCCTGTGTTATCTCAGGGCAGTAAGAACTTCAGAAGCGGGGTTACTGAGTTAGCCGCTGTGAGGCCAGCCTGATCTACAGAGCAAGTTCCAGGACATCCAGAGCTGTTACACAGAGAAACCCTGTCTCGAAAAACAAGAACAAAAACAAACAAACAAACAAAATCAATGTTGGCTTAATATCTGATTTTATAGGATAAAGAACATCTTCATTTTTCAGAGTTCATTGATATTTTGATTTTGTAATTGTCAGTGCTGAGAACACTTCACATATAAATGAATTACAAAATGTCTAAAATAAAATTATTAAAAATCACCAATATTCATGCAAGTGTTATACTTACTTATGAAAACAAAAGTTGACCACGAATCCAAAGGATGGGCAAAAATAAAAAAAAATTATTCTGCGAAAATCCTTTGACATGGAATTTTTAACAAGGTGAACAGATATTCATTCTCTCCTGCTGTTTTGGTTTTCAAGGGGTTTTGTTTGGTTTGCTTTGGTTTTTTAAGACTGGGTCTCGCCATGCAGTGCTGGCTGTCCTGGAACTTGCTGTATAAACCAGACTGGCCTCCAAGTCACCGAGGCCTGCCTCTGCCTCCCGGAGTGCTGTAATTAAGGTCCTGGGCCACAAGGACCTGAAGGCCTGGAAAATATTCAGACTGTTTCTGTCCCTGCCTAAAGTTCACTGTAGGGCTTTCATAGTCAACCCCTGTCTTGGTGCCCAATGCCGCCACGGACCTGCTTCCCAGAGCTGAGGAGCACAGTATTGACATGCAGTCATGTTGATGAGACGTCACTTTGCTCCCTGCTGAGTAGGAGTCCATCAGTGCCCACAACTTGTTTATCCATCTTCTTATTACCAAACACATGTTAGTGCCAGATTTGGCTAATATGGATACAGTTGCTATGAATGCTTTTTTGTTGACCTATTTTGCCTTTTCTTAGATAAATATCCAGGGATAAAGTTGCAGGCACATATAGCAAATGTGTATTTAATCTTTAAGAAATGGACAGCTTTTTTTCAAAATTGAGACCTGCGCCTTTAATCACATCACCGCGTTCCCCATATTTCATAGACTGGGGAAGAATAACTGGATGATGCCTGTAAAGAGCTGAGCATATCACTTAGCACAGGCCTGCGGGCAGTTACTCCATCTGCTGTCTCTCTCAGCCTTAGCTGGGCTCTGTGGCCACCACCTGCACTTCTGACCTGAGCAGCTACAACTCAGTCTGAACCAAACTATGCTCTCTTCTGTCCTTGCGCCTAAAGTGTATCTTCTCAGCTACCCAAGCCTTGTCCTTTCTGTCCTGCACATGCCCACAGCCTGGAGAGTCCATCCCTTCTCAGCCCTTCCGTGAGCCCTCCTGCCCTCTCCCTTTGCTGTCTTAGCAGTCATCCTACTGAAGCCGTGCCTTGAGGACCGCCAACCCCAGTCTCTTGCTGACAGTGCCACAGAAGACAGGGTTGTGCCCCTGATGCTGTCCCACCTCCTTCTATTCCTTTCTGGTTCTTGGTATTCTAGCCTCATGCCTACCTTGGCTTGGCTCCCACCCTCGATTTCGCCTCATAGCCGGACTTTGCTTAGATGTCTGCTTTGTGCTGCTTGTGAGACATCCTTCCCCTCCCCACTGCCTCCAACTCATCACCCCATTGACCCATGCCCTTCCATACTGTCATCAATACTCAGGCAGAATGATTGTGAGTTCCAGGAAGCCTTCTTTTAAGTGCTCTGTCGAGTGCCTGGATACCCAGTACTTACCCCAAAGTAAGCACTGTAGCATTAAAAGCCTTGCACTGCTTGACACCCCCAAGCTCCACTGCAGACAGTGAAGTCCCCCAAGAGTAGGGAGTGGTTTCTTCCCACTGGCATTGCTAGCAGCCAGGACATAGCAGCTGCTTGGCAGATCTGGGAAACTGAGCAGTTGTGTTACTAGCTGACTTCATTTTATAGTTGACCTACACAGCATTTGAAACCGCTATGTCCTTACCCAGTCTTTCCTGTCATCCTCAGCCGGATGAAAATTCACTGGATTTTTCCTCCTGTATGTTACGGCCTGGGATTAAAAACGCTCAGGAGCTGGCCTGTGGGGTGTGTCTCTTAAATGTGGACTCCAGGAGCCGGGTAAGTTCTGGCCTTCCCCCTTCAAGTGACAGGTTCATCCCTCACGTGATCTGAGGGACAGCCACAGGGAGCCCACTTTACAGCAAGCTCTGTGACCAGAGCTGGGGATTTTGAAGTCTAGAAAGTTCTATAGAAGCAGATGTGGTCTTTTCTACAGGGCAGTGGAGAAGCTGCTGAGGGAGTGGATGGAGTCCTTCTCTCCCTGCTGAGCCTGCAGTTTCCAGGGTCTCTACAGCACACCATGCACTGGGTGGGGGAAAAATGCCATGCTGTGATGCTGTGTGGATTTACCTGAAGGCAACAGGCCTGTTCTAGGGCCTTTTTCTTTTTCTTTTCTCTCTCTCTCTCTCTTTCTTTCTTCCTTTCTTTCTTTCTTTTTTTTTTTTGACGATATGGTTTCAACATTTCAGAAAGAAGAGAAGCCTGCAGAAGAACAGCCTAGAAAAGTATGAGCCAGTTACAGGTTACCTTAGTGTCTCCATCTCAGTCTTGTGTGTTAAGAGGTCAACAGACGATTCTGTTGTCGTCCTGGGCTGTGCCGATCGTGAATCCTCTACTGACTTGTTTTTGTCCCCATAATGTTTGATCAAATCAACTGACGTGTCTCTGTGGCGCCACTGCTGTCTTGCCCGCGTGCTTGTAGCTGCTAATCAGCTTCTGCTGTTGTCATTGTCTTTCTCTGCCACGAACTAGCACCTTCTGGAAGACTAGAAGTTGTAGTGACAGACAGAATGAGATGGGAGAGCTTCAGGATTTAGAGGATGACAGATAGAAACAAATCATTCTGGTCTTAAGATTTTCTCCGTGGTGTTTGAGAAAACAAACTGCAGAATGTTTAACCAGAGCTACGGCTGAGAGGGACGGCTGTCGCTCACTCGGTTGTCAGCTCCCAGCGGCATCGGACCATTGGTTCTCAACCTTCCTAATGCAATTTCCTCATGCTGTGGTGACCCCCAACCATACAATCATTTCCTGTCTACTTCGGAACTGTAATTTTGCTAATTCATGAACCATAATGTAAATATTTGATATGCGACCCCAGAGTGGGTCGTGGCCCACAGGTTGATCTCTAGTTCTTTTAAATGTTTTCAGTCCTGATAGGACTGTAATCAGCCATGGAACTCTAAGGGGTCACATGTTACAGTCATGGCAGCCTCCAGGGAGGGTGGCCTTTAAAGTGAGGGAATCAATTATCCACAGTCCTCGGCTATTTTAATTCTGTGTCTTGCTCATCCGTCTCTCCTGTAACCACCACCCACCTTTTCTGTGAAGACTGGGCCCTTTGCTGAAACTAGGCTGAATGGTACTGACTCTTATACCTTTAATTAGCAGTAAAAATAAATAAATAAATAAGACTTTCCTACTTGAATCCTGTAGCCACCTGCTCAGCTTTTGTCTGTGTGTGCCATTCGGGCTCAGGTTCTGTGAACCTGGGGATGGCCTGCAGTGGCTGCTAACAAGCACTCAGATGAAAGGAGAACCTGACTTGACCCGTGTCTATTTCTGGCAGGCATTCAACTCAGAAACAGACAGTTTCAAGCTGGCCTATGGAGGACACCAGTACCACGCCAGCTGTGCCAACTTCTGGATCAACTGTGTTGAACCTAAGCCTCCTGGCCTCCTCCTGCCAGACCTGCTCTGAAAAGCTGCTCAGTGAAGCTCCAGCTGATTTTTGGTTGTTTCTGTCGCATGACTTGGGGTGACAGGGATCAATAAACAGAATGCAAGTGCTGCACAGTTCCTTCCCCAAGAGGTGGGGCAGAGAGACTGTAATGGAGAGACAGCCTTTGACCAGCACTTCCCCCTGCTCCCGTTGAGACTTGAGGTGAAGTGCTAGACCTAAACCACATGTGGCACCGGACGCTTGTTTACTTTCTCCTCTGATTTTCCGATTTTTGTTGATGTTAATGTTGGTCTGATTTTTTTTTTTTTAGAATAGGGTTTTGAAGCATGCCCCTGGCTGACTTTGAATTTGTAGAAATCCTGTCTCTGCCTCCCAAGTGCTGGGTCATAGATGTGTGCCCCCTACTTTGTTTCTCTTATTCCCGTAAGATATTTTACAGTGTGGATCACAGTTTCTGTGGAGTAATCTGCTGCTGAAGTGTTTAAAATGTGAAAAATTAACAAAAGAAAAAAATAAATTATCCTAGAACTGGAATCCACAAGTTTGTCTCCAGGTCCCATGAAGCAGGACACATTTTTCTGCATTTAGCTTGTAGATGCTTGAAATGAATAAAAGGGGATTGTGATTAACCTGATGCTCTGTACCTGTCTGCACCTCCTGTCAACCCTCACCCTCTTCTCCTCCCCTGAAAGGCAACTCTCAAGGAGACCCTCCCGATTTGACAGAGCCCAGGGGCTGTGTCTGGCTGCACAACCCTTTACTGAGATCCCGCTGTTTTATCTCAGCGTCAGGACTAACACAAAGCATGGTATTTTTCCTCCAAACAAAATCTGTAAGAGCCATGAAATGAAATCTCTTCATATTGACCTCTCTCTACATCCCCAAAGATGACTGCATAGGGGCCAGCAATGCTGGACTTTGCAGTATTTCAGGAGAGACCCGAGAATGAACCCACTGTGAGAGTGGAATTCTGGGCCTAGTGCATGGTTCTCAACCTTCCTACCGCTGTGACCTTTAATACAGTTCCTCATGGTGTGGTGACCTCCAATCAAAATTATTTTCATCGCTACTTCATAAGTGTAATTTTGCTGTTATGAATCGTAATGTAAACATCTGATATGCAGGACCCTGATATGTGACCCCGTGAGCCCCTCCATCATGACCCTCAAGTTGGGAACCACTGGCCTAGTGTGTTTGTGTGTGCATGCGCATGTGTGTACATGTGTTGGAGAAACACATGCATGTAGCAGAGAAAAGCAGCAACAGCACTAAATTTTCAAATGAAAAGGCTGGTGTAGGAATTTGTCATGTAAACAAAATGCATAAATCTAAGAGACCTGAAGCTTCAGTGGTGAAAAGGTGTGTAACTTCCAGGAGAAGCTGAGCAGTCTGGGTCAGCGTCTCTCGGTCTCACTGGCCGTTGGTTTTATGTGTTGGGAAGGACTTCGGGGCGTACACGCTCCACTGACTTGATTTAGTCTTATAGAAATCTAAAAGGCTGGCTTTAGTCTCTCTCTCTGCTGCTTCCACATAATTCACCATTTCCCCTTCCAGGACAAAACTTGAGGAGATTCTGTGGTGTTCCATCTTGTACCTTGTGTCTTTTCTCCAAGATGCGGGTCATTTCCAACACTTGGCACAGCTTCTCCTCGGCCATGCTGTAGATCAGGGTGCAGGGAGAAGAGCGTCCGGATGAGTCCAAGCCGTTTACTCATCTGTTCCAGATGATGTCATCCGAGCTACTAACATTCAGACAGCTGTCTGCATTGTGACCACAAGGCCGTTCCCTCCCTGGGGCTGGTGGAGTGTGAAGATGGCACACACAGGTGGGTTGGTTCTCAGCCGGCTCTCAGACAGCCCCATGACGGTCCTGCCATAGCCAAGGGTAAGCAGTCAGACCCTCCAGTCTGTGTTCTAGTTATTCCCTCATAAAAACCAGTAATAGGACTGACCTTAGCCTAAAAATGCTCCCAGTGAAGTATTGTCTGCACAGTGGCCTGTATGCATGGCATCTTAAGTACCTGTTAGCTAGGTTGTCTCCACTTGTAGATTTATTCCAGAATGCCTTGATTAAAACTCCTTACCTTAGGGTTAGTCACTCGTTAGGAGGTGCGGAGGAAAATGCAGTAAACATAGACAAAAGTATTGTCTGTGTAGTGCTTCAGATGTTCAGCTAGATCCCCACACCGGGACTTGGGGGCGTGGAGAACATTAGTCGACTGATTTTCTTTGTGTGCATGGATTAAAATGACTCAACGTTGCATTCAGTTTCACCTCAGCTCTCTTGTTAGCCACGAGCCCAGTGTCCTTGGAAACAGTAACCAAGGTTACTTATCTCCACGCTATGCTTTGTGTCAGGCAGCTTCACCCGCCTCTTGAATGGGATTAATAAGCACTGCTGGGTTTGGGAGCCGTGCCTTGCCTTTCTGTTCCTGGGGTTGGCGTGTGACCTGTGTCTGGACATGTTTGAGACAGCAGAGGCTCAAGGCGTGCTCAGATATTATCTCTGCTTTCCTTTGCTGTGTCTGCTAGTCAGCATCATCTGGGAGACACGTTGTTAAATTCATGTTTTGTGTTGCTATACATATTTTGGGTGTTTGGGGTTTTTCTGTTTTTATTTTTGGTCTTATTTCCTGTTTTTCTCTTTATGTATCATCTAAAAGATTTCTTAAAAACAGAAATTGGAAATGCTTGCTTTGTACCTGCGGCTGCTCTGAGAATTCTCCTAAGTACCTTCGAGATCAGATACCTTTTGTTAAGGGATGAACTGTGACGTTTTCAGTCCTTTGTCACAAAGAAGGGGCCCTTGAAGCCTGCTGTAGACATCCCAGCAGATGTCACAATTCAGGTCAAGATGTGTGTAGCTTGGTTATATGTCTTGGTTGGGTACCATTTCTTTGGAAAAGTGTTCACCAAATAATATTGCAAAGCCACCTCCTTCTTAAGTCCAGCCAAGGAAATAGGGCTTAGTGAAACAGTTCACTGTGTTTTTTTAAAAGTAACTTTATACTTTTCATGATAATGAAAATTTACCAGTTTAATTCTGTGTTGAATCTAGTGCAGTTGACTAAAAGAGCACTCACCTCTCATGTCATAGCTGTGGCTGAGTTAATCTGGTCCACGTCACAGGTCATGAAACTGCCTTGTGAGTGATGTGGAATGCGGTCCCATATGGTAAAGGATGGTGCAGCCTTTCCCTCTGCTCATCTTCATAAACAACTACTCTGATTGCTGTGTTTATGTGCTGTAAAGCCGGGCATTTCCTCTGCTCAGGCTTGCTCTAAACCACCCCCTCTCTTACAGGAAACACCCTGGATGGACTAAGGCCCTTGTCTTTGCTGGGTCAGGATTCCATAGACGAGGTCACTAGAATGAACACAGAGCAAAGCACCTTAGGAAAGGTGCTAGACTCCCAGGTGCTCAGGACACCTTAGCTACTTTCCAGTGCTAATGTTTACCTGGATGCCTTTTGAGTGTGTGGGAAGGGGCGGCTGTTTCTATGTCTGTATGTTCCTGTCAAAGAACAGCCTTGGGTGTCATTCCCCAGGTAGGGAGGGAGCCAGGAGCAGAGCATGGGGGGAGAAAGGGGTAGCAGGTGGGAAGGGAGAGAGGGCCTGGAACTTATTAAGTAGGCCTGGCTGGCTGACTAAAAGGCCCCTGGGATCCTGCTGTGTCCACCTCCCCAGCCCTGAGATTACAAGTGTCATCATACCTGGCCATTTCTTTATTCTTCTCCCTTTTATTTTTTTTTCACATAATATACCCTGAATATGGTTTCCGCTTCCTCTACTCCTCCCAGTTCCTCCCCATCTCTCCCGCCCCCTAATCTGGATCCACTCCCTTATTAGTAAACAAACAGGCTTCTAAGGGGAAATAATAAAGTATAATAAGCACTCAGGGGGCAGAGGCAGGTGGATCTCTGAGTTCAAGGCCAGCCTGGTCTACAGAGCTAGTTCCAGGACAGGCTCCAAAACTACAGAGAAACCCTGTCTCAAAAAACAAAAACCTCTGTTGTACCTGTTGTGGTGGTTTAATTAAAAAAAGGGCTCATATATGAATGCTTCTGCTGTTAGAGTAGCCTCTGGATTCCCAGGGAGTGCCTGCTGGAAAGGTGGGATAAAGCAATGAGAGAGTGTGTGTGTGTGTAGGCTAGAAGCGGAAGATCTGTGTGATCCACTGGAGGTGGGGTAGGGGGCAGGAAGGCTGCAGCAGGTTTCTCTGAGGAGCTGAGGGTCTAGAGTGCATTATCTGGCATTTTTTTTAATGTGGGTTCTGAGAATGAACTCAGGTCCTATGGTTACACAGCAATCATTTTACCAACCAAGGCATCTCCCCAACCCTTGCCAGGGTTTTCGCAGGAAAGTTTTTCTTAATAACAAAGAATATCAACAAATATTTTCTTTCTAGAGTACAGTGATTACTATGGGGTTCCTATTCAGAGACTGACTTAAAGCTTGGCTCCATGCTGAAAAGCCAATCTCTCTGCATTGTTTTTGGTCATGTGCTAATGTTACATTATGCTCCTGATTTCCCAGAGAAATTGTTTTAAAATTTCCTGCTTATGTGTGCATAGAAGAAGGGTGGATAAATAATATAAAACAAAAAAAAGGTAAAATTGATGGAAAAGCACTGCAATAAAAAGGTAAAATTTGAGCCGGGTGATGGTGGTGCACGCCTTTAATCCCAGCACTCTGGAGGCAGAGGCAGGCGGATCTCTGTGAGTTCGAGACCAGCCTGGTCAACAGAGCTAGTTCCAGGACAGGCTCCAAAGCTGCAGAGAAACCCTGTCTCGAAAAACCAAAAAAGGTAAAATTTGCAAGATAGAAATCATTTATATGTCACTGGCATGTTTGTATTGTTAAAACAAACATTCCATGAACACATGACCAGCTACCCCGCAAGTCAAATAGAAAGCACTGGCTGGCTCTCAGACAGGCTGCCTGGCCTCCCCCTCCCAGCAGTCACCTAGGAAAGCTTCTGCTGCTACCCTGTGGCAGCTGGTTCATTGTGAAACAAGGAATAAAGCTAAGGAAGGCTATTGCTCTTTGCTTATACTACAGAGAAGTTTTGTGTTACTAGATGAGCAAAGGCATGTCTTCTGTTTCTTTGATGGTAGACTTGACACTTTGATTTACCAAGACAAAATGGAATGCAACACCTTGTGTGTGTGTGCGCGTGCATGCACGCTTGCCAGCAGGAGTGCCCAACCTTTTTATATTGTGACATGGGCCACATTCACAGCTATCCTGGGATCTTACTGTTCACGAGCTGCAGGTTGGACACACCTACACCCACATGCTGATGATACCGATTCCTGCTTCTCTGCAAGGGTGTGAAATGCCGACATGATTCCACCAGGGTTTCTATTTTAAGTACGGACCATTAGCATCCTAATGGCCACAGCGGAAAAGTGATTGAGTACTGACACACATCTGAAATGATTAGTCAAGGGCTTATGTTAAGCAGATAGATTTATTAAAAATATAATCCCAGAGCACACTGATTTCAAGAGGGTCGTTACAACAGATTTCATCATAATCACTTATCAACTAAACTTAACTTATAGAATCGCTAAATAACAGAGGAAAAGAAAAGGACCGGGCTAATTAATCCAGTAGAGACTGAGCTGGCCTTGATATCCTTAAACATCTATCCAGCCATCAGCCACAGGCAAATCTGGTCTCTAGAGGATTAATCAGGGCCCAGGACGATCTTTGCAGTGGACTCCTCCTGCACCTGCCAAGGCTCCAAAAGGCTTGGGAGCCACAAAGTAAGCAGGAACAGTAACCTACACTGTTCCAGGTCTTATAAAGGATTAAAGGCCAGTTAAAGATTTTCATGTTCGCTATTTCAAAATGCTAGTTTTAAAAAATTTTACTAGCAGTGTGTGTTTTCCCTCCACATCTCTTAAACGCAAACACCCAGTGTAGAAACACTGGCGGGATAACCAGAGAGGGGAAGAGTGAGAAGACTGTGTGTGGCGGATGCTGGTGCTGCTGAGGGGCTGCGGGTGCCAGCTGTGGCAGCACTAAATCCCCCAGTAAGGCTTCAGGTATCGGGAGTCACAGATGTCTGGAAAGACACCATAGGGTGTATCTATCATCTGCACGGTCGACTTCCCGAAAAGCTGGTTCTCGTAGTCTATCAGCTGCTGCCAGAAGCCCAAGTTGGGCTTGATGACAGGCCTCCGGGCTTTCACCCACCTGTACGCCTCCAATAGACACACATTGTGGAATTTCATCAGGTACGCAATGCAGAGGGTGGCCGAGCGGCTCACTCCCGCAGCACAGTGCACCAAGGTTGCCCCATGCTTCTTGCTCACACTGTGGATCTTGTCAGCCACACTGTCAAAGTACAATCCAATGGGCGCATGAGGAATGTCAGCCAGAGGCACTTTAACATATTCAAGCTGTGGCCAGTTGTAGTTGGGGATCTCAACGGTGGCATTAACAATGCAGGTAATGCCCTTGGCCTGGAGGAGGTGCCGGTTGGAGGCCACACTGCCTCTGCCCAAGAAGAGAGAGGAGGTGATCTGAGCAATGCCTCCTGTGTCTCCCTCGGGACTCATCCGAGGAGCCATTAGAGTCCGTGGGAGTGTGCTGTGACCTCTGGAGCTCATGAAGATGTCAGCAGTCAGTCACACTTGTATCATCGGAGGGGCAAGACCAAAGAATGGTTAAGTCCGTCCTCCACCAGAGGATTCAAGACCGCAACCTCCTTCCTGCAAGACACGGGTATCTGATGTCAGAACTTTACACGCTGCTCATTTGCCACAGCTGCCTCCAGTACTGGGAAGGGAAAGAACTAGGAAGCTATTTTCTAAGGCTGAGTGCATTCTTTGCAGTAAATACTTAAATCATTTTCGATTGACTATTAGGAAATGTAGCCTGTAATGCCAATATGTAAAAAAAATCAATATAGAACCAAGCTTTCTTTTCTTCAAAGCCCTTCAGTGAAAATAGTCACCCTATTTTTAGGAAAGCTAAAGACAGAAAACATGCCTAACTGGTTCCTGAAGAGAGCCATCTGGCAGAATCCTGCTGAAGGAGGGGCATTCCTTGATTTCAGGGCTGGGATCAAACCCAGACTGAAGCTGGCTAGGCAAGTGCGTTTATCACTAAGTTACTGTCCCTGCCCAGAAGTCCAACAGGTTGTACCCCAGAGACACAGCATCAGGTCCTCCCCACACCGAATTCTAGACAGGGAGACCTTGGGAGAAGGTGTCTGAAAGTGATGCCCCAGACAAGGTAGTGATAAACTACCTTTATAGAATAACAAAACTAAGTTGGAAGCCAGCAGAAATAAAAAAGCCAAGCCATCTTTGTTCTTTACTATTTAAAAATACTTTTTTTTATTTATTTTTTGTGTGGGTGTCTATGCGTATATATGAGGGGGCATGTGGAGGTCAGAGGACAACTTGTGAAGCTTGGTTCTCTCCTTCTACCATATGGATTTCAGGGACCGAACTTGGGTTATCAGGCTTGGCAACAAGTACCCTTGGTGTTGGAGAATTGTCTGTAGTCTGTCAACTTTAAATAAATGCTGATTGGCTGATAGCCAGACAGGAAGTATAGGTGGGAAAACCAGACATTAAGTAGAGGTGGGGCAATGAGAACAGGAGAATTATGGGAAGGAAGCTCTTTTTGCAGTCCTTGCCAGACCACTGAAGCAGGATGTGATCTGCCTCAGCTGAAAGGTACTGAGCCATGTGGCTAACATAGATGAGAATAATGGGTTAATATAAGCTCTAAGAGCTAATACGAAGCCTGAGCAATGGGCCAATCGGTTTATCATTAATATAGACTCTGTGTAATTTCTTTGAGGCTTACCGGCTGTGGGAACTGGGCAGGACAGAAACCGCAACAAGCAGCAGGCCCTCACGTTACGTACCCTTACCTACTGAGCCATCTTACCAGCCCAAGACACCTATTTCTTATCATTTTTATGATCCGTGGATACTTTGCAAGTCCAATTAAATTTGAGTAAAGTACTGTAGCCTTTCAATGAAAATAATCCCAGGCAACTTGAAGGCACAGTCATTGTGTGTTTATGTACACAGTGCTGGAGAGTGATTCAGGGCCTGCCTCAAACATGCTAGTAAGAACCAAGGGAGTTAAACCCTCACCTTTGAAGGTCAGGCACAGCACGGATCTTCAAATTTTCTTACCGTCTATCAGCTAAATAGGAATTTAGCTGAGCCGACTCTCGGTGACTATCACCTTACCCTTCTCTGCCAATCTGAAGCTTCTGGGTAAACCCTGCTGGATTCAGGGATGTGCTGGCATTAACATTCATTTAGTGCAGTACCCGGGAGTCTATGTTTTCCAATTAGTAAAGTGTTTACTCTAAAATATCGGCGTATATTTATAACAACAGAAAAGGAAATTATTGAACTGGGCATGGTAGCATATGCCAGGCAGGGGATTGCGAGTCCCAGGCCAGCCTGTGCTCCTCAGTGAGACTATGCCTCAAGAAGGTTTCCCGAGATTTCAGACACACCACTCTCACTGCCAAGCCATGTTTCCTAGTTTATGCGTCCTGATTAAGTGTGTAACACCTGCCTGGTGCCACGGGAAACCTGAGTGCTCAGCCAAACATCTTGCAGCATTATGGTACTCACACGTGCTGAGGAGTTCAATGAGCTGCAGCCCTTGGTCTGGATCCAGAAGGTAAACAGTGGTTAGTGTACACAAATCAGATCTGTAGGAAGAAAAGGATGCAGTGAGTCAGGAAGCCGCATGCCATTCCTCCTGTGGTTTTTGTTTCTCTGTAGCTTTGGAGCCAGTCCTGGAACTAGCTCTTGTAGACCAGGCTGGCCTCGAACTCACAGATCCGCCTGCCTCTGCCTCCTGAGTGCTGGGATTAAAGGCGTGGGCCACCACCACCCAGCTCCTCCCGGGTTTTTGCTGCTGAGTTAAGGGGTTTACCAACTAAGTCTCGGGGACGTAAGCCCGGTCTGCAAGCATTAGGCACAGTTTTGGCAAAGGTGATTCAGGGACCACACCACATACCACTGACGGCATCAGCGTGCTTGCTAGGCCTCTGTAAGACCTCCCTGGCACCCACCGTCACCCCAGGAGCTTGAGGACCTGAGCCTGAAGTCACAGCAGGAAGAACGGGGTGGCAGTGAGCTGTGACTTGGGGCACAGAAGTGGTGTGGGGTGAGCATTATCTTCAGATGTGGATCCCCGACAGCTTCACAGCAACGCCAGAGGCAGCAGCTCCACCAGCTGGCCCTGCTGTCAAGGAGAGTAAGCAAGTTCTACCTCGTTCCCGTTTTAGCCTCTGCCCATTCTATAGCCCGACAAGCACCATGTCCATCTCCAAAAAGGGCTTCCCCCCATGCAGATCCCACAGGAATGTACAGAGTACATGCATACACAGAGGTGGAGGCAGGGAGATCAGGAGTTTGAGATTATCCTCAGCTACTTAGCAACCCAGAGGCCAGCCTTATTATACCCAAAGCCAGGTTTAGTTCTGTCCCAATGCAGTGACTTTTCTGTCAGAATCCCATGGGAGGTGTTAGGACTCAGACCACTGGTCCCAGTTTCTGTGGTTCAGAGCAATCTGAGATGCTGGGTACCATGTGGTACCACCCAGGACACCCTACGAAGGCTAAGATGCTCAAAGTGCTGCCCCATGGCACAGGGGTCTGCAGGACGACAGGGGCAAATGTACTCTGCAGAAGTAGAGGAGGCGATGGTGGAAGGTGTGTGTGGGTGTAAAGGTGCTGTGAGCTCTTCCCTGAACAAAACCACTGTGGCAATAAATGCAAAGCTCAAGGCGCTGACGACTCTACTCAAATTTCCACATGGCTCTCATTGCCTAGTTAGGAGAAACAGCCTGTGTTCTCCCAAATAATCCTGCCTTCCAGGAGGCTGCCAGCCCTGAGCTGGGGAGCTGGGTACCCAGGCTGGAGGCCAGGCTTCGCTCCTTACTGCTCATGCGCTCAGCGTGGACAGGGAGGACAGATTGTGCGTCCTCAAGGCAGAATCCAAGCAAGGCAGACACGATGCTCTGTTCCTGCTGCCACCGCCAGTCCTGTGCCAGCCAGCAAACCTGCTCCAAAACGCCAAAGCTGGCTACAAGGTTTAGAAAAACACCTTCTGTCAGCGAGTGCTCCGAGGGCAGGTATGACAGACACTTCTCTGACAAGTCCCCTTGCCCCGACAGGATGGAAAACTCACGTTTGGGTAGGGCGGGATGACTGCAATTTGGAGAAGGCAAATAAAGCCAGGAAAGCTCCAAAGTGTCCTCCAGCTCTGCACCATACACTGCTTCTCTGTGGGACGCTGTGTCCTCATCAGTGTCCCGACGGCAGCAGGACCCCTTTAAACACTGGCAGACGAGCCTGAGCCCAGATGAGCTAAACTCCTCCTGCATGTCACCTAGTATCCAAAACAAGAGGACTGGCGCACCCTGCCTGCACACACTCCGGGGCACAGAACCTTCCTCACCGCATAGGAACACAAGGCGCTGTCCCTGAGTGGGCATAAGCAGCCTAGTGTGACCCATTTCTAAGATCGGCAGAGCCTAAGTGTAAAGAATACAAAAGCCCACAGGTATTACATCACGTAACATCAACACAGCAGATGTGTGCTAGGAGACAGAAAAGAAGTCTGGCCTGCGTGTGCGGGAGAAAAGATTGCCCCAGAGCTGAGTGAGAGGTCCCTTCGCTGCTGCACACTGGCCTATGGGAGCATCCTGATGCTGACTGACCGTGGTGTCCACCTCAGCTTTCCCAAGCTGTGGTGCGGTCGCATTTTCTTCTGAGAGGGAAAAATGGCTCCCAACCAAGGAAACAACAACAGGACACCAGAGGCACCAAAGCAGAGCTGTCCTAAAACAAACACAGAAGGTCGGGAGGGGTGCTGGGGGGGCATTTTAAAATCCCGGTGTCTTTGGCTGTCACTTTTAATTACAGTAGTTGGAGGAAGAGGCAGATAGATCTGAGTTCAAGACCAGCCTGGTCTATGTAGCAAGTTCGGACCAGCCAGGGATACATACATAAGACACTGTCTCAAAACAAAATAGAAAAATCAGGTGTAAGGATGCCCGGGATGCCAAGCACGGTGCATGCCTATAATGCGGCACTCAGGAGGACAGCAGCAAGTTCAGGAATAGCCAGGAGATCTGAGGGATAATAAGCACCAAGCACTAGGAACTAACAGTTTAGTGTCAGTGTCTCACAAGGGCCTGTAGTCTTTGTAGCATACCAGCTAGTAACAGCTGCCCTTGCTCCTGGCATGCAGAGCTCTGGGCATGTAGAACTGTCCTGTGGTTACACACTGGCAATCCACACCCAGATCAGTGCCAACGTGGTTGAAAATGACTGGAAGTTCCGGCAGGGTCAGAGCATCCACCCGAGTGTCACCAATGCTACTTTTCCTTCCTAATGCTGACAGCCACTAGACTCGGCAGTTAAAGAAGCAGTGATCCTAGCTGTGTTTTTTTCTCATGTGAAAAATGCAGAATGTGGCCACACTGGGGCAGGAAAGCTAGAGAGAACTGCAAATATGTATCTGTAATAATATGAGCTGCGGGGCTGCGTCCCCAGCACCCCGACGGCCTGCTAGCTTATATCCCGAAATAACAACACACAAACTATTCTTTTAAACATTGCTTGGCCCACTAGCTCTAGCCTCTTACTGGCTAATTCTCATATTTTGCCTAACCCATTTCTAATAATCTACATAACACCGGTCTTACTGGGAAAGATTCAGCATGTCTGACCTGGCGGCTTGCTCCATCGCGCCTGGCTGAGAGGAGTTGCATGAGTTCTGACCTCACTTCCTCTTCCTCCCAGCATTTTGTTCTGTTTACTCCACCCACCTATGTTCTTACCTATCAGGGCCAAGGCAGTTTATTTAACCAATGACCTTCCTCCATCATGTATCTATGTGTAATATACATGTTATGTGTATACATACAGAAATATATACATAATGTATTTAATAATGTATTTAAAATTCTGTCACTTGGGCTGATAATGTTCCCCACAAGAATCATAGACTAGTCGGGCGGTGGTGATGCGCACCTTTAATCCCAGCACTTGGGAGGCAGAAGCAGCAGTTTGATGCCAACTTGGTCTATAAAGTGAGTTCCAGGACAGGCTCCAAAGCTACACAGAAGCCCTGTCTCAAAAACAAAACAAAAAAACCCATATCATAGACTACAAACTGGTACTAATCACAAGGAATCTTTTAGGATGTTGGTCAGGGTCCAAATTGCTCCTAAAATCAATACAGACTCTTGCTATTGCCTTTGGGTGCCTCTTGGAGGTTGAAGTTCAGCCCCTGTTGCCTGAAATACCACATATTTAGAACACAGCACGCAAGACTATGGAGCTGGATCTGACCTGGAGGGCTCTTTACTGAAGTCTAGCTTCCGTTGCCAGACAGTCCTACCCAGGTTGCCAAGAGAGGGGAGCAGTTCATAGTCCTCCCCAGATGTGACACCAAAGAACCACAACAATGACCGGCATGGCAAGTGGCTCTCACATGCTCTTGGCAACCAGCTGTCTAATTGGATCAAACCCACTCAAGGGGGGCATCATGCCGGGTACTGTAAACCTAGCCAGCTTCCTGGGGCTAGTGAGGTCATGGACCTTAGGAAAGACTCTCCTATGACCACTTTGCTAGAACAGTGCAATTCTAAATTGTACCCTTATTCCCACAGACAAATGTGACTACCACCCCTCAGCAAGGACACTTCTCTACAGCAAATGGAGCTCACTGCCGAAGAACACATCTGGACCCCAGGAGACCTGTGGACTGCAGGGAGCCCAGTCTATCACAGCTCTTGCATCTATGGCTCTGGGAACATCAAAAGAGAGGGGACAGGAAAACTAAGAGCCAGAGATCCAGGAAGTCTGCTGTGTGACTGCCTCTTTTAGAAATGGCTGCATAACCAAGACTTGAACAATGATGATGATAGCAATAGGCATGCTAACGAGGAAGAGGTAAATTTAGATGGGCCCGTCCCTAGACAAAGATCTATGGAAACCAATGACCGCTGAGAGGGAATTCATCTCTTCCAGGGATGAGCACCATAACCGGTGATACAGTACAAAGTGATCAGCCCTGAAACCATATACACACAAAGCAAAAATAGACTCAGATTGTATTTATATCTGTACATATATATGTATATATATGGAGAGAGAGGCTATCAATTTGAGAATAGAGATGGAAAATAAGAGGTTGGAGGAAGGAAAAGGGAGAAGTGATATAATTATTTTAATTTAAATAAACAAAATAAAATATCCCTAGCTTCAGGAACTTCCGAAGGACAGAGGGGTGATGGAAGGATATGTGTGTGTGTTATAGAATTAAAAGCACACACACACACACACACACACACACACACACACACACACGAGATTTGTCTGTCTGTCTGTGTCTGGGTATATGCACGTGGCTAGAGGCCAGAAGACAGCACTGGATTCCCTTACCTCTACCTCCCACACTTCAGCTTAAAAAAAAATCATAACATGATTGATAATCTTTCATTAAGGAAACACTTGACAGAATATTAAGAACACAATTCTAGGTAGGGGGATGGAGAGGTGGCTCAGCAGAAGAACACTGGCCGCTCTTCCAGGTCCTGAGTTCAATTCCCAGCACCCACGTGGTAGCTCACAACCATCTATAATGAGATCTGCTGTCTGTCCTCTCCTGGCCCACAGGCATACATGCAGA